CTGGCCTAAGGGCAGGGTGGGCTGTTGATAGTGAAGGCAGTGAGAGTTTGGATTTCTTCCTGGATCCCGCAGCGCTCGGCATGAGGAGCCATAAATACAAGGGCTTGGACATTCGCTGTGACCTCTGGACACTGGTCATGTAGAAAAGACATATTTAATATTTAGACTCTCATCAGTGTGGTACAACATGCAGAATATGACTGCCAATTCAAAGACTTCAAATAAGTCTTTTCATTAACAAAAAAAAAAAAAGAATGCTGTCATTATGAGTTATGAAAACAAATCATTGTTTAAACCCCATTCAAAAAATATTATGAAAAATGTATATATTTTAAAATGTTATTTTATATTTTTGTATTTCATGTATATGAGTTGAAAATATATGTTGTTTAAACCTTCAAATGACAAAATGTACTTCAAGGGCAAAATAATACATTTCCAAGCTTTTGGGTAAATGGGAAAAAAGGACAATATAGATATATTTAGATTTAATATATTTATCCCATCAAAAATGTATTTATGTAAATATACACTATTATAACTTCCATTTTAACAATATTTTTTAATATTCTGAAATATATGTAAAAAATATTTCATTATTTTTGCCTTATGGGTCTGATTATATATCTACTTTTGTCTATTTGAGTTATAATGACTGTAGAGCAGTTTAAAAATATACAATTATGTCCAAACCTATTAATCTTAAAATAAAGGTGTAATCTGTGTAGAAGCTGGGAACGTGTTGTCCTAATAGTTAGGCAGTGTGAAGTTCTCAGAGCATAAAATAGTAAGTCAAGAGGCAGGTGTGATAAAACTCAATAAAGTCATTATTCTATTTTGAACTACATCCCTAATTAAAATGACCAAATTACCCCTCTACTCATTCTCAGGTGACATTAAATTAAGAGTGTACTGCAGTAAAAGTTAATACTCTTCTTTAAAAAAATTAAAAAATAAAAAGATTTTAATGCTGTAATGCCTGCATTCAAATGATTTAATGAATAGTTCAGTTTCTGGGCTAATCTAGCTATGCGAATACATTACAATTGACCCATAGCCTCTTACTGTATTTTGTGTTTGTACAAATACAATTAACACTCCTATTGATTTGCAATAGCATCTACTTTTTAAGACACGTTTGGGGAAAACATGTCAATTGGATTTAGTAAAACATTTAAAGTAAAATAGTTTGTGATTGCACTCTGAGGGCCCTTGGAGATAAAATCTCAATGTTGTTATTTTCTTTCCATTTTATGTGATAGACCACCTTTGCAAACCTACCTGATGGAGAAAAAGAGTTGCTATCCAGATTGCTGCAATGCACTTTCATACAGTAACAAAGACTTAGGAAGTGGGAGAAAACACTTTTGCATTATGGCTGCCTAGATCATTTCTGAGATCTGCTTTTTCTGGTGCTCTGAATGGCATTAATATTTAATCACATTATGAATTGGGAAAAGGAATACAATTACCAAAGCAAATACACCTGTCCCACCATGCAAGAAATTGCAAAAATCCCATAGCGCACAGCTTTCTTCCCTCAAGGTAAGGAGCGGGAGACGATTGCGCTAACTTTGAGATTTGCAACACTGTGATCCTTGACTCTATTTATTCGTTTTCCAGCATGCCGGTTCAAAGATTCTCCGTTGAGACTGAATCAGTGTTATCCCTCAAATATTTATTGACTCGCTTTGCTTGCTCTAAGAAAACTAATACAATTAGACAGACCTTGGGGCCAGACTGTACCTGTACTCGTCTCTCAGACCTACGTTTTGTCTTGAACATCAAGGAATCTAATGGAGAAACATGATTCATAGAGCTCTTAATAACATCATTGTGCTTTAATGCCAATTAGACTTTAATGGCAATTAATTCAATTAAAAAAGACCCTGTCTCCATCTGAATGCCTTTATTTATTAGGTTAGTGAAAGATGCTTGTTAATCTTGCTTTGTCATTTCTTTCATCTGAAGTAAAATTGTAATATTCAACCTTGTGTGTGCTAAACTGGGCAACTGAAAAACATTTTAAATCACTGCTCGTGAGATTCATGGTCGCATAAGAGATTAATAAGGATAATAATAATAATGCATTTTATTTATAATGCGCTTTTCTTAGACCCAAAGCGCTACAGCAAATATAGTATAAAATACATTCATTAAAATAAAAAATGCAACAGCAATAGAATATAAAGAGAAAAAAAATATTAAGACATAAACGCTATCTTAAAAAGAAGTTTTTAAATGTTTCTTAAAACTACCTAATGTGGGGGCATTCCTAACAGTTAAAGGAAGTGCATTCCACAACCTAGGGGCCGCTACAGAGAAGGCTCTTTCACCCATAGTTTTTAATCTGCAAGAAGGCTGTTTAAGGAAGAGAGGGTCTAGAGAACGGAGAGACTGCGGGGGCATGTATGGAGTAACTAAATCACATATGCATGAAGGAGCAGTTCCTTGCACAGCTTTGAATGTTAAAAGTAAGAATTTGAAAGTCAATACGAGCACGGACCGGAAGCCAATTGAAATATGAGATGTTTATTTTCCTCTTCTGCACACAGAGGAACACAGCAAAATGTATTCTGTGGTTAACAGGTTCACTTTTGTTGGCCAGAGATGAGCTCTTCATCCTCCTATACTTGCCCTAAATCACACGACCAGGTGACACCTGCCAAGTCCTTCAGAAACAGCATGCTCTCGTAGTGGTCTTCGTTGGCAGTGTGTGTGTGGGTGTCTTTTGTGAATCTTTGACAGAAGCAGCCTTGGCAATAGAAAAGAAAAGATGAGAAAAGTAGGAGAGCGAAGCTTCATCATGAGCAAATGAAACTCCCTTTACAATCAGAAAATAACGTGTTTGAGATTCAAGTTTCAGTAATCGGAGAAAAATTCTGAAATTAACAGTTCAGAGAGGAACTTAAGTTAGCATTCTTTCATGAGAAGCATGATAATGTCTGGCATTGGCAAACATGTGTTTGCAGATGGCAAGTAGCTGATGGATTTCTCAGAAACAGCATGACTGTGTCTGTCTGTGTTCCCATTAATTAACAACACAAGCTTGCGGTTCACATAACAGTGCATGAAACAACAGTGGAAATAGTGATGATAAGCTTGACAGATCTGAAAAATATTATTAATGTGAATTAAGGTGAAAACCTTGGTTGAAAAGAAAGGGTTAGGTTCATAGTTGTGCCTTATTTGTCTGATTATAAACAAGAAATAAGTTAATCACCTTTTTTCTTTGTAGTCAGAAATAACTGGTACGTCACCCTACTGTATCTATTTGATTTCATCTTCTGTACTGGCTGAGTGTTTCACATTATTTTCTTTGGCCTTTCAATGTCACTCCAGTTCTCCGAAGTGTTGTTTGTTTTATTTTTATGGCTCAGAAAGCCTTCCTATGCTGTCCTGAGTGCTGCCTGGTTGGAATGGCTCTCAATGGGAGCTCCACGCTTCTGTTGAAACAGATTTACAGATGAGTTATGCAAAATGAAAATGCCAGTGCGACTGTAAAGATTTAGTCAAGCTGGTTGCAAAAAAACTGGCTGACACTGGCTGTATAAATATTAGCCTAAAACACCAGTTTGTCACCATTTTATTGATTGAGCACCATACAGAGCCCTTCAATATTTCTTGTAATTTCCAGCATGGACCACCACAAGCTTTCACATGCATCTTCAAGTAAAATAAATATTAAGTGCTCATCATGTCTTATTTTTCAAGTCAGGGTCAAATTTCTCCAAATGTCTTGGGTCAAACTTGAAACAATATAAGGCAAGGGTCTTCAACCGGGGGTCCGCAGCGGTGATGCAGGGGATCCGCCAATTAATGTTTGATCATAAATATTTTTTTGTTAAAAAAATTAAAACATGGGTAAAAAAAAAAAAAAAAAAAGTTAAATAAAGCACACTGAAATGAAAGCAATAGCACCCACAATTGATACTGTAATGATATAATATTATTTCCAAAACAGATTTAGCAAATGCTCTATTGCATTTTTGAGTTTGAGCTCTGGAGAATGTGAATGACATGTTTGTTGAGCTCTGGCCAATCAGAGGTGTTTAAGTTAGAATCCACTCACCGCTCAAAACGCCGGTGTTTCTGTTCGGTGCTGAGTTATGCTCACTCTCGCGAATCCTCTCTCATTAACAACGACACAATGTAAGTAAGGGGTTCATTATGCAGTGTAGACAACTTTATTCATTTTAATAGAACGTTGTGAGATCACGAAGGGGTCCTTTCCCTGAAAAACGTCGAAGACCCCTGATATAAGGTATGCAAGCGCCTCAAATCTTGGCTCACATCTTGAGATCAACTGCAAATTCTGCCTTTGCTGTAAGAGAAGTGTTATAACAGAAGCTATAGGTTATAAACATCACAGCTTTTATCCATTATCCACAGTCTCCAAGTGCAGACCACAGAGAGACAGCTCAATAAAAGAACCGCTATCATATTGTGCAAAATGTTTTTCAAAATGATTTTGTTGGTCAACATTCATATCATGAGAAAGGTAATGCTTTTGATACTTGTGCTTTCATGTGATAAGTTCACTGTTTTAGATTTAATTATTAAATATGGTTTCAAATTCAAAATGTGGGCTTGTAAAGTCCAAAGTTGCTTGCTACAAAAAGCAAAGGAAAGCAGAGTGAATTCTCCTGCCGAGCTTTTAACTCTGTTTTAGTAAACCTGAAAGCTTCATAGACATTTCCAGATGTGATTGTGTTGCCTACTAATAATGACCAAGTAGGTATAGCAGAATAATAGTAACTTTAGGCTGTAAATGACCATGAAAGAAGAAACAGAACAGAACAGAAATAGAAATAATCTGGGCCACTAATAGTGTTCACATCAGCATAATCTCCATTCACTGATGAATGTCATCTGTTCTGTGTACAAAAAGATGCACAGTAGTTAAAGTTATTCCATCCCATCTGAAAGAGGAACCCTCCCTCTTGATCGGGTTCCCAAATTATGAGTGGAAAGAAAGTTTGGCTCTTTAGATCCCAGTGAGAGGGACTTCTGGGTGGAAGAAGGTTTAAAGAGAAGATTATCTTCGCTCCAGCTACAAGTTATGGAGAGTAACCCTTACTTCAGCAGTCAACAAGGGCTTTGCAAAGATGTGAGTATTACATGTGAGCTTTTTATGCGATAGAAAATTAGCAAGTAAAAGTCTAGTCTAGGAGTCTCAAAATCTAAATATGCAATGCTTCATAAGAAAATCAATATTTAGGTGGAATGATGGTTCTCTCTGTAATGTATACATCTAAAATAATTAACTAAATTATATTTTCTTTTTTTTTCTACTTGAAAGGTTCAGTAAAGAGGTTTTGATGAGTGGAAGATCTCAAATTGATCTTTAATTTGTGTTAAACTGCTCTTTTCAAAGGTTGTGACGTGAATGTCAAGTAAGGGTAAAATGTTAATTATTTCTGACTGCAAGTCTTTTCGAATGTTTAGTTTTCTGTGTTGCTTGCTTTCACCCTGTGCCTTTTCTCCAGCTGAGCGTCTTCCAGTTCTTCCCGTTTTATCCATTCAGATGAAAATCGTCTAACGACAACCGTCTACAGTGTCTGTTTTTCTTCCTTTTCTCTTATTCTCTCTCTCCTTCCACCTTTCTTTCAACTTCTTTCCCTTTCCTCTCTCATCTCTCCTTCTCTTTTCTCGCACCCTCCCTCCAGCTCTACCTCTCTTTTTCCTCTTCGCCCTTCCTCACTCACTCTCATCAGCAGGGGGCCCTCGGCTCCCTTCATCGCCATAGACTCAGACTCAATCCCGCTACAGCAGAATTGCCTGGATGATTCTTAACCTTAAACCGGTTTAATACTGTTTTGCTGGCAGCCGTCGGTATATTTTCAGAGCCATTTGTATTCTGAGCAGACGTTATCCTCCAGTCAAGTTTCCACTGCTTATGCAACCTCTGGATTTCAGCTCTGTCTCTATTCACATTTTTGCTTCATGCAAGGGGAAATTCATCTTTAGAGGAATTTCAGGCTTCTCTAATTGTTTGTCCTCCTGTTTCCCGTCATGCGTAGTGAGAGGGTTTAAACCTTGATGTTTTTAACAGGGTGCTCATGACAAACTCAATGTGAAACTGTCTTATTCAGCGCATTTATATGTGTGCATACTTTTCAAGAATATATATATATATATGTATATGGATAAATTGTTCAGAAAAAATATCTTCAATGACATGGTCTAATTCCTGTGTCTTAAACTGTGAGATAAAGTCACCACCAAGGGCAGTATTAAGGGTGGGCTTCTGGGATTTAAACCCTGAATGTTTTTTATCACCTTGTCACAAATAAAATTATTCAGAGCTGCAGGCTGCTATATAAATCAGATGTGGTCTCGCAAGCCACATTTTGACTGTTTTGCATAAAGTCTGGCGCATTTTGTTATTTATTCTGTCACAAAGTCAAAGAAATGATGGCGTCGCTTTCCGTTCTACAGACCTCACCAAAGTAATCAGAAAAAAACTGTGTTGACTTTGGTCCAGCCAGATATTTTGGCAAAATAGAAAATATTTCAGACTATATAATATTTCATAACTCTGAAAACAGAGCAAAACGTACAGTGCTTAAGGATATTTTGGCAAATTTGGCTAGACATTTGCAGTTTTGTGGGGAAAAAATCAGTTTTATTAAAACATAATGCTAATATTATACAGAAACTATTTTTTATATCAGAAGTGCTAATAATAATAGCCTGCTAACTTGTAAACAACACTTGCTGACTCAAAAAGTGCTTCGAACTATAAAAAGCCAAAAGGAAGAACATTTTTTAACTCGCATTTTAAAGTAACATACATACAGTTTTAAATATGAAACCTCTGAACCTCAAGATGTTAGTGGACCTTTTTAGTTATATATTTAAAGATTCATTTCATTTAAATGACACCTCACACCAACATTTCAACATTACTATTATAATAAAGTACATTATTCAATATTTCATCAAAGCATAAAACCATACCCATTCATAGAGGTCTAGGCTATAAGCTCTAAATATCCACTGCCCCCCGGTCACCACTGCTATTTCTGTTCTTTAAGCTTCTGTTTCGGCAAGAGATGTTGGCTAATTAAAGCTTGTTCCTCCATATTTCATAATTCTGATTGGCCATGTCCTGAGAGACAGTGGAGCACAACACTGTGAATAGTAAACTTTTAGACTCTCCCTCCTGGAACTCAGCCGGAACAAAAGCCTCTCTTTATTCATTTGCGGCCATAGGCTGTGGGAATTTAATCGAACAGACAAACTTTTAATTTGGGACAATTTTAATAAATGTAACCTTTTGTTCTGATCTCGGAAGAATTCAAATTGCCTATGTGATTATTTCTTTCTTACTTGAGCATTGTGGTGCATAAAATATTCAATGTGTAAAACCTGTACATGAAATCACACCATATAAATATAGAAATGTATGATAACATGACTGTTTTCTATAGGTTGAGCTGGGGAAAGAGAAGGAAAGAAAGGCCAGGTATCGTGCTTACCAATGTGCCGCCATCATTCTGAGTGTGGTATTCCTGATATTGGCCCTCTGTATCTTCAGTCTGAGATATATATGGAGCCCAAGCCCTGGGAAGGTAAGACAAATCCAAATCTATTGTGGAGACCAAGAGATATTATTGAGCATGGTGCATGGCTGTTGATTAATTAGGAAATGATTAGAATAACAATCGTGGAATGGAAATGAAAGACTCAGAAACATCTGCACACACTGTTTAGTATTCTTGGAACTGACTGAATCCAATCTTGATTTCCTTGGCATAAACAATAGCATCACAGAGTTGGAAAAAACGGCAGATTGAATACATAAATAAATATATCGTTTTTCATAAAATTGCTACAATAACCGGAACTGCAAAACATAGATATTATTCATTATAGTTCCTCAATTCTTGTTGATACCCAGAAATGGGCAGCGTGTAAGTAATTGTCAATACCGGGGTGTCAATAGACATGCAAACCTTATGCTTCGGTATACTATGTTATGCATAAATTCTTCCAGAGGACGTAACTCGTTTAACAGCCAATTCTTTTAATGCGTTTGCTGAAGCTCCGGTCTAATTTCTGCATCAGATATTTCACGCTCCTGCTTGAGGAGTCATCACTTTGAGCTGTAGAAGCAGTGAAGATTCGCACAGGGCATGTAATGGGCTTAATGGCACTGGAAGTCTGGGCTGTGGAGATCGAGAGCAAGCGCTCACACTCTCAAACTGCTGCGGTTGGCTAACTGAAGGCCTGTGTATTCGCTGATATCCAGCAATGAGCAGCATAATGGCGCTTTAAAACACAATGATAGGCCCAACTGTTAGGGGGTCTCTTCTCAACAGCAGTTAGGAGGAAATATTAGGCAAGCAATGAGTGTGTGTGTGTGTGTGTGTGTGTGTGTGTGTGTGTGCGCGCGCGTTTTTGTGACAAATGAGGACATAAATTTGTATAATGACAAGGGTATGACATGGGTATTACAAGGAGATGGTGACATTTCAGGACATTACCCCATGTCCCCACTTTTCAAAATGCATATAAATCACACAGAATGGAGTGTATTGAAAATCTGAAATAGCACAAAGTTTCCTGTGAGGGGTAGATTTAGGGGTAGGGTTGGTGTAGGGCAATAGAATATACAGTCTGTACAGTAGAAAAATCATTACGCCTATGGGATGTCCCCACTTTTCACAAAAACAAACCTGTGTGTGTGTGTGTGTGTGTGTGTGTGTACAGCTATCTTTGTGAGGGCCAGTTTGAGTTTTAGACCATCGGAGTGAGGACAATCTTGTAAAGTGAGGACATTTTGGCCGGTCCTCACTTTCTGAGAGCCCTTTAAAGGCCTGTTTGAGGGTCAAGACTTGGTTTTAGGGGTCAGCTTATAATTGGGTAAAGGTTAGGTTTAGGGTAAGGGTTTGGGTGAGGCACTTAGTTCTGATGGGTAGGTTTAGGGTAAGGAGCTAGAGATTGCATTGTGTCAATGTATGTCCTCACAAAGATAGCTATACAGAGGTGTGTGTGTGTGTGTGTGTGTTTGTGTGTGTGTTACACACACACTATGCCTCGAGTGCTGACATCAACAATGAAACCTGAATGTGCAACTATTGCAGCTCCGGGCATCACAATTCTATAGCTTAGATATGAATATTTCAAACCAACACTGCATATTTCATAAGCCCCACCTCCCCTTATTTAGACTTGATGAAATATAAAATGTTTCTCGCTTTCCTAATTTTGCTAGGTAAGACATCATCAATTATTCCCATACTCTTAAAAGGTACAGCTCCTGACAGACTAATTAGAAGTCAATACATCAATAGAGAAGGAGATTGTCTTTGTCAATCCCTCCATGTGGCAGCAGGGAGAGGCAAAGCGGTCTCCTGTGTCTAACTTTGCATAAACTGCTGTGGAAAGGTAATTTGCTCACCATATTGTATTTCAATATGACATAGTAACCACTTGGGAACTTCTTTTAATTACTTACAAACATATGTTGTTACAGAAGCCCAGGGAAGAGTTAGCCATCATTCTCTACGCTACTATGTGTTTAAGATGGGCGTGTGTGCATCTAACTGTGCGACTGCGTGTTGTCCAACACCGCCATCATGTTTACCATGTCCTAATTATTTTTCTACTGGTTCCTGTGGGATCAGACGCCTGTCATATCACCTAATATAGCCGAATTTAAAGCAAATGCCTTTAAAATGACATACATAGTAGCACTGCTGCACTTTATCCAAAAACATCCGCTACGGTAAGCTGATGTCATCTATTTTTCTGACCTTTCTGAATGCCCGTTGTCTCTTAAGGAACCGTGGTTGACAGACGCACGTGCAGCACCCAAGCCGTGTTCTTTCAGGCTGCCTTATCAGGCCCGAACCACCGGTGTCTGTCATATTGACCACGGTGTTGGTGAACACCACGAATAGATCACACGAACAGCGACGGAGAGATGCTGTGAAATTGCTTTCGCCGCACATGTCTGTCAGGCTCACGAGACGCCCCCCATTATTCAAGCTGAAATTACTTCACTCACCTTGTTGCTATGTTGTGTTTGCAAGGCAGCCTTGCAAAATGTGCCCCCAACCAGCTCTTAAGGACTTCTGTGTCCTGATGTGTATCTTAATGAACACAGTTGCACCTGCTCTCCAGTAATAGTGGCAGGTGCCGGGCAAGGAACGAACCCCCTCGAGCAGGTTTGTTTACCGGCCATGTCCAGAAACCGGGCTTTTTTTCTTTTTGTGCTGTCATGTCGGTCTCCTTGCGGGAAATAGACTGGATAGACTCCAGGAAGGCATGATGGCAGTGCTGTTTGCTTTATGAAAGCAGTCCTAAAATAGGCCAAATCTTTGTTTGCCCCTTCTCTCTCTCTGTGTCGAAAATGCTCAGGTCTTCAGGTCTTGAGGAGAAATAATTACAGTAATGAAGCAGACCGGCCAATCCGAGCAGCTGCTTCTGGAATTCCCTCCAGACGGGTGGTGCTTTTGGGTCTGCAATCTTCTTTTATTTCACTCATCAGACTCATTATTTATACTTATGAGCTTGTGTTTTTACCGAACTGATGCAATAGTCTCTGACCTCCACCTGGCTGAAACAAACTGTTCCCTTGTAAAGCAGAGGCAGGAGAACATGACACATCCGCTCTACCCAGTCAGGGGCTCTCAGGTGGATTGTAAACGCCTGTAGAAGTGTTTTATATGTTTTCAGGTGCTCCTCAGGATTCCGGTGAATTATTATGAACAGAAAAATGAGAGCCTGTGCAAAGGTAAAAAGTCTGTAGCCATTTTTTGATGTTTATATCAGGAACAATGACCTCACAGAGAAAGACAAAATACAAATTTAAAAAGCAGAACAATTGAAAGAAATCCTATTAGCATAACTATCAATCCATAAACAAAAAGCCATGTAATGGATTCTGTCAACAGCTTCACTTCAAACAACAAACATGGCTGTGTGCCATTCACAACTGAATTGAGGATGCAGAATTGTAATTTGAATTTAAATGTAATGAAGTACTGAATTTCAAAGAAATAGTCATTTCAAATAAAGCCTTTAGTTTGGAGGTTTAAAAGCTTTTCAGAGAATTAATTTCCTTGAATGCATTACTTTGATTTTCTTTGAATTACAATAATTTCAATTCAGTAAATTACTCTTCTTGTTATTCAAATCAAATTCACCTTCAAAATGTAACAATTCAATAATGATTTGGGTTAACATTATTCATTTTATCACATATCCTGTATATAATTCACTAGACATTTTCCCCTATTTATTATGATACACATCTATTTCACATGTGCCAAATCTACACATAGATAACCAGCCACTCCATAGCAAAGTCATATTAGCATCAGGAAATTTCAGGAAATCTCAAAAATTACTTTAGATAAACAAATACAGATTCACAATGATGCATTTGGTCTTTGCAAGCAACACACATAAAATATTCTCCACTTCATTATGGACGTGCTGCCCATTTCCCTTACCCTCCATTGCCTCTTCCTCTTTCCCATCAAAACGTCGACCCCTGAAAATCAGAGAACAGAACAAATCAGTTCTCTTTCTCTTGCACAATTTAGATTCTGATTGAGCTTTCACATCCTGTTTCGATTCTACACAGGGTGCCAATAACTAGTCCTGCCACAGCTCTCTCACATAAGAGTAGATTTCATCAGATTAACTTTCTGAAACTGTTCGTAACACCACCCAGATCCACGGAATGTGCCTCATTATTTCAAATGGATTAAGGGCTAAATCTGTCAGCCAGATATGGAGTTGAATTCACAGATATTGAGATGTGAATAATAGTCAAGGTGAATTTCCCATTCTGATATGAGATCAGTTCCTGAATTTTATCAATATAACAAGCTTAAAAATGGACTCAGTCACCCATCAATGTGATGACATTACTGGACTGATCCAGTTGTTGTTTTGTTGCTTCAATGTGGCACTTATCAAAGGTAGTTTCCCAGCATACCCCAGCAGATGTGCTTCTGTTAGTCAGTCAGTGTTAATAGCCCTTTGGGGGACCCTGCTTGATTCAGTGATAAAATATTAAACACAAAGATGATTGGCATCTCCTAGAGGGAGCTGAAAGATTTCCAATGAGAGAGGCAATGCATGCAAAGTATTGACCTGCATACTAGTTGAGGGCTGGCATGTTGTTAAGCTTCAAAATTATAGCACAATGTTCATAACATTGGCAAATAATGGCATTTTCATGACCTGCTGAAAGCATGACATTTGCATGGTACAGAGAAAAACAAAACAGACATCATCAAAGATGACAGTGGACCCAGTGTGTAAATAAAACATCACATAGCTAGCCTTTTCACTTGACATAGCAGCAATCTAACCAACAGACACCTTGAAATTGATCAGTGCATAATTTATCTCTTCATCACATGTTGTATGAGACAGTCTGCCACAGTTTTTAAATGAAACAGAAGTTCAAGCAGCGACTGTCTATCGCATAAATACTTAAATTTATGTTTAATGTTTTAAGAAACTGGAATATGTTCATATTGGTTCGAAGACACAACCACGCTGGTAATGTTTAACACAAGGATTTTTGGTAACACTTTATAATAACTTT